ACTTGTACTTGGGAAACAAAGTGTAAATGATGGTATCTGAGAGTGAAATGGATAGTTGAGTCAAATAGCTGAACACTGTAATATCTGAGTCATATGAGTTCAAATGTTTTTAAGTTAATGTTTGTATTGTCATTTTGAAAGAAAGAAAGAATTTATTGATGCTTTTATGATATTCTTCAAAAAAATTTTGAAAGGCAAAAAAAAAAACCCAATAAATTCAGACCAGAGTCTGAAGCTTTTCCAATCAAATGTATCCAGCATTCATCTGTCTGTATTATCCCTATGTCTGTTCTGTGTTTTTACTTTTCACATTTTGAACTTCTTCAGAATTGGTGGTCCAGTACCAACCCATGATGATTTTAGTGGGGGGGGGGGGGGGGGGGGGTCCCTTAGTTCCTTAGACTTTGAAAAAAAAATAATAACCTTGTTAAAATTGTTTTTCTATAAATGATACTTTTCAAGATTAAGTTCCCTTTCATAACCAAAATTTTTAGATTCATTTCCCTTTTGTGCATTATTAATTAATGTGTTAAACAGTTTATACTTATTTTCTATTCAAAAGCACAGGAAAGGGAAGATTTTTGTATCCTTCAAGTTGGGAAGAAATTGAAAGGAATATAATTTACCTGTATACTTGTACAATAACTTTAATTCATATCAAGCTTTTGAAAAAAAAAAAGGGGGGGGGGAGGGTAAAAAAAATTAGATGCATTTTTTCCTTCGGGTTTCAATTTTCCCCTTGAATGAATTTTAAGTAAAGATTTTAAATAATACCGGAAAATTACTAAATTGAAAACGAGGTATTTAATTCTTTACTGTGAAATCAAGCCATACAGACTAAGATGAATTTAGGTTATTTTATAGCTTTATTAACCTAATTGACAATGGTTGGAGTTCACCAGAATTTGATATAAGACAGTTTTAATATTTAGATACCACATTTTTGTTCTGTGGTAGATTCTTAGTTTTACTTTGTGTCTAATATCTTTTTTTCATGCTCATGATTAAGATTTTAATGGTCAATTATCATTTGTCCAGTAATTGCTATTTCAAGTGTTCCTTACAAAATCCCTTTGTCATAGATCCTTAATGCCATGCTGACCTTGTGCTGTAACTTTTATGTTCAGGTCAGCTATACTGTCCGGGTCATCTGTTTGTTTACAGGTGTGTTTGAATCAGGTATCAGCTTGAAACCTTAACTTGGTCTGGGAACTAAGACGTACAAATTAATAACTGGCTAGGCAGACAGTTGTGCATCAGTATATGATTGCAATTGACATTTTATCATTTAATTTACAGATTTTTTTGTATTTGAACATTTAACGAACTAGATGACATGGGTAGTGTAATTATTGTTCATCATAAAATGGTTGTTTAATTTGCTTATCTGGAAAAGATCATCCAAATTGCTCATATTGTTCGCCATTTCTGTAAAGAATTCCAAGTTAAAGAGAAATGATTTTGAAGTTAAATTGCTGATGGGCTGTTAATGGATGGTCATTAGTCTAATTTGATCTGAGAACTGATAATATTATAAAAAAAATTCCCAGCTGAGCAGTATTTCTATTTATGTTGTTTGAATTTGTCGTGCAGAAGGTGTTTTCCACAATTACGTTTTGTGTCTTTGAAAGAGATAATGTGTAATTGGATTTAAACTATGCAAAACGTGTTTTGAAAAATCTACTAGTTATGATTTAATCAAGAAATTATTTCTTGATAATTATCTTAATTCATATTTTTAACTTTGAACCAAATCTTTTTTCCATTCGTCTTCATTTTTGCTACCAGTGTATTTATATGTTGAATTCAAAAACTTTTTGACAAGTTTTTCTCTTCGCAGACAATGAGAATTACATTTCTTTTATATTATAACTTATAATTATAGTCAAAAGCATGAATTACAAATCACTTACTATGAAATCACTAATACTTGGAAGGGGGGGGGGTGTCATTGTTTTCATGGTTTGAAGATACCAGTGCAATAATTCATGTCCTCTATGAAATGTTATATTTTGAAATAAAGAACCATGATCATGTCTTCATCCACAAAATCCAATCACCATGAACTAACTTTAAACTTGACAATAATTATTTTACTGTTTGAAAGTATTATACTCCTTCACATTTGCTTAAGGTGAATGCCTTATGTCTGGGGAATGTCTAGTGAAGGCCTTATGTCTAGGGAAGGTCACTACTGAAGGCTTTATGTATAGGAAATGTCTACTGAAGGTCTTATGTCTAGGAAAGGTCTATTGAAGGCCTTATGTCTAGGGAAGGCTTACTCTATGCCTTATGTCTAGGGAAGGTCTACTAAAGGCCTTATGTCTAGAGAAGGTCTAGTGAAGGCCTAATGTCTAGGGAATGTCTACTAAAGGTCTATGTCTAAGGAATGTCTTGTGAAGGCTTAATGTCTAGGGAAGGTCTAGTGAAGACTTAATGTCTAGGGAAGGCCTAATGTGTAGTGAAGGCCTAATGTCTATGGAAAGCCCAATATCTAGGGAAGGCTTACAGTGAGTGTATGCCTTATGTCTAGGGAAGGTTTACTTAAGGCCTTATGTCTAGGGAATATCTAATGAAGGTTTAATGTCTAGGGAAGGTCTAGTGATGGCCTAATGCCTAGAGAAGGCCAAGTAAAGTCTGAATGTCTAGGGAATGTTCAGTGAAGGCTTAATGTGTAGTAAAGGCCTAATGTGTAGGGAAGGTCTAGGGAAGGCTTTAAACGTTTAGAGAACCTAATTATGTCCAGAGAATGTCTAGTGAAGGCCTAATGTCTAGGGAAGGTCTAACTCAGAGGTCAAGGCAAAAGTTTTCCCTATCTGTCCATCCTGAAGTGACATTTGTCTTATTTGAAAGCTTTTCAAATACTGTCCTCATTCCTACAGCAAAATGAAGAAAGCCCAGCTTGATTGGATGTATCTTCCTGTACGTCATGTATTATAATTTTACATGAATCTAGAACTCCAAGCAAGGGAGATTTGGCATGTTTAAATTGCACTAATTTTCAATTCAAGTTAATTCAGAAAATCAATGTTTACACAAGCTAAACAAACATTTTCCTAAGGTGTATAATTTAGTATGGAACGTTTGTGAATACAGTATCATCTGTTCACTGGAATATCATATCCTGAAGACCAGATTATTTAGAGCTCACAGAGACAATATGACTGTACCTCCAGAATGGAGGTCAAGTGTCATTTTCCAAATCCTGTATGGTTTTCAAGTCCCTGATCAATACTCTGTTGTCCTTTCAGATATTGAAAATCATGATATCCTGGGCTCTTCTGTTCTTCAAATAATCAGGATTCAATTAATGTCCACTCAAAATAACAAGAGTGGATTATAAAGTGGCAGTAGGTAAACAGTTTGGAATCAGCTCTCTGTCAGTGTCTGGTGCAGGTGCTCTGGGGGATTACCATGAATCATTCCTAAAACACTGTCACACAAAGAATTTTATACCTATATCTATAGAATTCAAATATTATTAGAATGTATTATAACAAAATATTTCACATCAAGATTTAGAGGCTGTTTGATATTATTCAAAACAAAAAAAATTCTTGATTCAGTTTATAAATTATGATTGGCATGTAACAGCTGCATCAGTGTTTGTCAAAATTTTTTTGATTCTTACTCATGATACCATTTCTTAACTTCAGTGACAGTCTCTGTCTCAACAATACAGATATATCACTAAAAACTCTTCTAGTGGTGACTTACTTTTACCAGCCTGACTGAATTTTTACTAGTGTTCAGGCATTAAGCTGGTCCTTTTTGGTGCACATTGCTGCATTGTAAGTTAGAATACCTAACACTATTATGGTTATCAAATTTTAGTCTGTAAACACATTCTACGCAAACCAAGAGTTTGCAGCCCATTTTGCTGGGGAGCGGACTGTAAACTGCAAAAGTGCAGGCAACAAGAACTCAGCCTCATTATCAAAGATATTTTACAACTCATAAATCTAGAGAAACTTGTATACTTTATAATTATCATTATGAATCCTGTAACTTTAGTCACTAATAATAATGTTAACTTGATGTTGTAATGAATTTTGATAATTGTGTCATAATAAGCTAATTTTACAATCTAGTGCTGATTGAGCTGATGTAAGAACAATATATTAGAGGGATCAGGATATTCTTGACATTGTGTTTATGGTTTCTAACATCTGTGTGTACAGATATTTTTTAAAGAAGGGTCATGAAACTATGCTGTTGTTGAAAATCTAATATAAATTTTGTTGATGATAAAAGGTGACTCATATTACCTTTAAATTACTGTTGCATTGCAATGTTATGTCAGAAGGTCAAATGATGGAGATAAAGTTATCTCCCCTGATGTATAAAACCTGAGACCTGCACTCTTTGTTTTCTGTGTAGTGAGTGTTTAAAGCCTTTGATATCTGATTTCTGTGGGAGTCTGGTTTATTTATGTTGATCAGCAGCAGAGACAATAAACACCTGTCTAGCCTTCAAGTCACAAAAACATACACTTTTTTTAAGGGGGAGGGTTTTTTCCTAACTATGGTTCGTGTTTAATTATTCCATAGACTATATTCATATACATATGAATATATTATGTGTAATATTTTGTTGTGCTAAATGGCTTAAAGTCTTGAAATATGTGCATTAGTTTATTATATTAAAAAAAAAAAAAAAAAAAAAAAGTCTGCTTTTTTTTTTTTTGAAAACTTTTCTTTTTTCATAGGAAAATTTTTGATGATGCAAAAAATAAGAGCATCTGCAGGCGAAGGAATATGCACTAAAGCATGTTAATTATTTAATTTCTGCAGTAATTTACATTGTACTCTTGAGATCTTGTTTTCATAATTAGATTTATTCATCATAACCAGAAATTCACAGATCCCCACCTTATTCTTTTTTTGTGTTGGATAATTTTCTAGAATATTGAGTTTGATAATTTTAATGTTGTATAATATGTTAAGGTCAAAATCTGCTGAATATTTTTAATTTAATAATTTTTTTTGTTCATTTTTCAGGAGTGAATGCAGAGTTATACTATGTAAGGAAGGGAATTGTTAATAATTATGCCTTATCATTTATTCTTCCTATTCATCCTGATGTACAGGAAATTGTCTTCACGTGGCGAAGTCTACGACAAGGTCCACCTGATGTAAGTAAAAAAGGGTGAATAAAAATGGTCAATTAAAATAATTAGTGATTTCTGAAAAATGTATTGGTTTTATTCTGGTAATCATTTGAATTCCAAATACGTTGATTAGGTACTTATAAGTGTAAAGAAGGAGGAAATGGTTTCACTCAGAGCAAAATAGTGGTAAAGGGACATAACTATCATAATTTGATCTTTGGATTTGTATTCAGTACAAAATGTATTTCTTTAAAAACATTTTCATTTGGATTCTTCATTACTTTTACTGGCTCATTAAATTTTATTTTGACTCTATGACATTGTAGTCTAGATGTAATTTGATTGCCAGTTTGTTTCCAAACTTCTGTCTGTAAGCTCCTGTGATAAGTTTGGCTTGTTTAACATTATAAAACACAACAGAACTGTAGGAGATAGTGAAGCAATGTCAGCAATGTGCACCTTAATGAGCAGGTAATGCCAGAGTCGGAATGCTACAGTGAAGATTGGCAGCTACACTTCATAGGAGTCATCTGTAACAGGCTAGAGCTGACTTAATCACGCAATATGTCAAATCTTTCTGTGCTATTGAGGCTCAGAAGTCAAGAAAATTGTATTTTCTGACACAACACTGTCAGTTTTCGATTTTATACTACAGTGGAGTCTCGTTCATTTTGTCGCAGTAAAATATTGTAATACTGAGGGCAAAGTTATAAAAGTTCCCAATAAAATCCATTAAAACATCAATTTGAAAGCTTATATTATATATGGATGGGTGTGTATTTTTTCCAATCTGTTTTTTTCTTCCAATCTATAGTATGAATAACTATATTCTGCCCTTGAGTTCATTGTTTTATTCTAATATATATATATATATTGCTCCATCTATCTTTGAGCTTGTATTCTGTCATGCCCCATTCTATCAATGAGTTCACTGATGTGTTTAATCCGAGAGATTCCTCTGTGCCTTTATATTGTGACATCCACACATGTCACAATATAAAAGGGGGGGGGGGGGGGGGGTTACAGTCAGAGGAATGTGGGATTATGTTGTGTTGTGTACATTTTATGAGTATCACTGAGTTTACTAGTTTTCAGATGTATCATGCCCCATTCTGATTTCTTTGGACATGCATGTCATTGATCATTCTGTTTTACTCTGTGATGCTTCATTCTGCATTGAGCAACAGTTTCCCAGAACCTCCCCACTACCTCGAAACAACAGTTTGACTGCATGTTTCCCTCTAGTCATGAAATGTAAGCCTATAATCTTTCATAGTGTTCACTAGTTTATCCTGGATGCTATATTGTATTATTGAGTTCATTTTTTTACCCTGCTATTAAATGCCCCATTCTATCACCAATCTTTCCTGTCATATCCCATTCTATTACCGAGCTCACTGTTTTGTTCTGTCATGTCCCATTCTATCATTGAGTTCACTGTTTTGTTCTGTCATGTCCCATTCTATCATTGAGTTCACTGTTTTGTTATGTCATATCCCATTCTATCATTGAGTTCACTGTTTTGTTCTGTCATATCCCATTCTATCATTGAGTTCACTGTTTTGTTCTGTCATGTCCCATTCTATCATTGAGTTCACTGTTTTGTTCTGTCATGTCCCATTCTATCATTGAGTTCACTGTTTTGTTATGTCATATCCCATTCTATCATTGAGTTCACTGTTTTGTTCTGTCATATCCCATTCTATCATTGAGTTCACTGTTTTGTTATGTCATGTCCCATTCTATCATTGAGTTCACTGTTTTGTTCTGTCATGTCCCATTCTATCATTGAGTTCACTGTTTTGTTCTGTCATGTCCCATTCTATCATTGAGTTCACTGTTTTGTTCTGTCATGTCCCATTCTATCATTGAGTTCACTGTTTTGTTATGTCATGTCCCATTCTATCATTGAGTTCACTGTTTTGTTCTGTCATGTCCCATTCTATCATTGAGTTCACTGTTTTGTTATGTCATGTCCCATTCTATCATTGAGTTCACTGTTTTGTTCTGTCATGTCCCATTCTATTACCGAGCTCACCGCCTGCGTGGCGCAGTGGTAAGAGCGTCTGCTCTAGAGTCATGGAGTAAGGAGTTGATCCTTATGTCGCGGGTTCAAATCCCACTGAATGAGCTTACATTTTTTTGTCATGCTCTTCTGTAAGTGAGCTCACAGTTTCATTTTTACCCATTTAGGGCTATTTCTGGTTTTATAAAGAATCACTTAATTTGTCTGACTAACAAACATATCAAACATTATTGTAGGAAAATAATCCATTATCTAGCACAGATTTAATGGGCATTCAAGTGAAAGATTAGGGGAAAAAATTCTTAAAACATTTTGAAAAAATTTATAAGTAAATTCATTGTGTGTAAAAAGAAAGTGTATTCAGAGGCCAACTTGAATAATTAACATAGTTCATTGACATTCATGATAAAAACAAATTCATAGAAAATTAACCACAAGTAACATGATACAAATAACAAGCTTTTTTTCTTCCTTTCTTGTACATGCATTGACAATGCAGGAAAATATACATTGTCATTATGTTAGACCTGTCACATTGAAATCACAATTCTATGTCAAAGATTCAAATATTATTTTGTTCATTATACATATATTATAATAAAACTTAGTACAATATATCTATGATAATGACAGGGCAAATTTGAATGCTAGGTCACAAAAAAGGTTGAAGATATATTAACAATTTATAAAAAGATAATTCTTATACAGACATTTTAATGACATTAATTGAAAGCCAATTGCAGAGTTTTACTTGGAGGGGAGGGGGGTATCATGTTAGAATATTAGATTGTATTTATGTGGGTGATTCTCTTTTTTTTTCCAGATCTATTACAACATGAGCTTTGAGGTGTCCAATCCGAGAGCCATGCTGATGCCAGTAGCCAACATCTCTAATACTGGAAAGGTCCCCAACTCACTCTCAGGTATCAGTAATATAAGAAGGTTGTTAAATTTCTGAAATATTTCATCTACATTGTAAGTAAACCCCATTGTGTAGCTACAGACAGACATCAGACCCATAGCAATGTTTTTCAAAGTGGGGGCAAACCTCAAAAAAAAAAATTGACAAGCAAAAAAAAAAAATATCAATTGCCAAAACTCAAAAATTCTGTTTGGGGGGGGGGGGGGGGGGGGGCTCTCTTTAACTTTTCAGTAATTGTTTTGAACAACCATGCAGCAGCAACAAAAATAAAAAATAAGTGTTGGTGGGGGGGGGGGGGGAAGCAGTATCCAAATGAAAATTTATTTATTAAAACTACAGTAAAAAACTATTCTTAGAAAAAATGGGGGGGGGGGGGCATAGTATAGGCCTGGACACATTTATTTGAACGAAAATACTCAGTAAATTACAAGTAGCTAGTTTGTTCAGTTGGTAGCTAATCCCTGATTTAGAATTTAAGGTGCCTATGTTTTATTGGTTTGAAACATTGAATTTTTCTCCCTTTCTGTTCGCTGTGATGCTAAAAGAAAAGTTTGAAATGCAAACTACCCTTCCTCTTCCCGACCTTGATGAGACACCATGTTCAGGTTGGTAAAGTCAATGCAAGGGACAGAATAAGTTACTAGTACTGTGAGCTATAGTGGCCATTCTTGAAGTCAAACATTCAGCTCATGGATCTTTTTTTTTAAAATGACCGCTGAATGAGCTCTGTTGTCTACTACACAGTCAGGATTCATTTTGTTTGTCTGTTTATAAAAAATATTTTTAACCCATTTTGATTTGTTGCTCTATTTCTACCTACTGAAAAAGTACATTAAATGTATGTAAACATCTTATATCCATTGCACATTTATCTTAACAAACAATACTTTTTAAAACAAAAAGCATTCTCAAATATTGAGAAGAGAACAATTTGTGTGAAAGCAAGAAGTACATGCATCAGTTGATAAGCCTGTGATGTTCTGGCAGATTTATAGCTTGTCTGTGGCTTACTTTACACTTGTTTTATGTTTTTACCTCCCCATTCCTGCAATTAGCCAAATGGCCACTGACACGGATAAGTAAAATGAGAAATATTTTGTGTACTCTATGAGTCTATTTTGTCATGCCCAGTGAAACTGTTGGACACATGTTTGGTGATTACCAATGATGCTGGTGCTGTATGTAAGAGTAGTGGGACCACCCCTGCTGTTTCCCCATTATTTACCCCTGATGTTTCTCCTGTATTTACCCCCCTCTGTTTGTCTCTGTAGCTGTTGATGAATTCTGCCAGCTTCTCTGTTGTATAAATAGACTGTTAATACTGATGACAGAGAGTAATTCATTTTGATGACAGAACAAATCCTGTATCTGCACTTGGGGATTTTAATGAACAAATTTAATTGATAAAATAGCAGTAATTTGACAGAGCTTTTATCACATTGTGTTGCACAGATGAGTCTGTTTAGCCACTGTGGAGCCAGGACTGATATGAACTGATTTTTTTGAAAATGCAAAAAAGACTAATTGGTATTATCTTAGCTGCAGAAGCAAGTTGCACATAAATTTTAATTTTTTTTTTTTTTTTTTTTTTTTTTTTTTTTGAGAAGTTTACCATTAAATAACATCTTTATATGTTGTGTCATACTGTTTACAAATTGTCTTAAGAACCATAAAAATGTGGAAAGGCTTTTTTAAATGTTAATGTGAATTTACAAGTAAATGACTTTTGTAAATATCAACACCATTCATGAAATTATAAGTAATTTGTTAACTCACATGGAACTTACATGGGACTTCTTTCGGAGAGTTAGGATGTGTTAAGGGGGTTTGACCCTTAGCAAAGAGGGAAATAACTCTAAAATTGATAGATCAATATGTTAATTTATGAAATTTTCATCTTCAACAATGATTTGTCTCAATATTTTCCCCAGTACAGTCTACTTCGGATATGTTGAATTTTATATGTGAATATTTCATACATGAATAAGTAATTTCAATTTAACTGATATTTTATTGCAAAGATTATGAGAAACTGAGACTGGGGATTTAGTTTTAACTTCAAAATAAGCGATACATGTATTTCAATATCTGTACTTTTTTGCTTGAATTTCATTTTTCTTCCCATTTTCTGTAACTTTAAAAAATTTCGAGGAGAAGATTAATTAGATAAGGAAATAAAAGAATAAAGAGAGAAGTAGGAGTGAAATTTATTTGGATGACTTTTTTTTTCAGTGTTCAGCATCACCTTTCCTTGTACCGGGAACATCTCTGCAGATGTGGAGGTCGTCATCCAGATGAATATCAGCATCTTCTCTGCTTCAAATATCTCTGTCCTCAACTTCAAACGCAAGAAAACATGCCTGATGGGTAAGCTGTTGAGTATCTCAGACCACTGTTTAAGCTACAGGTGTACACTGGGACTTAATTGAAATGATTCGGGTCTGTTGTACATCAGGGAACCTTTACTTTTCATCTTTTGAGGCCACCTACAGAAAATAATTGATACAATGCAAATGGTTGTCATGCTCTCATGACTTTTGTACGAAATATCACCAAAAACACAGTATCAAAATTCAAAATTCAGTTAATTTTTTATTGGCTGTTGATATAATGTATTGGTAAAGTGTTTCTAATTTCTTTAACATTGTATTAATCATTTTTAACCCAATTTTATTTAACTTTCTAAATCTAAGACTTTTCTTATATGATTTGCAGACAGTAGATACCAGAAGACATTGAGAAACAAACTTTATTACAACAAGATACAGACCATCCCTCCACATCTGAGCAACCTTACACACAGTCATGTCACTGTGGATGGTACGTAGATCTATTTAATGCACAGACAAACTAACACACAGTCATGTCAAATTGGATGGTACATGGATCTATGTAATATACAGACAAACTAACACACAGTCGTGTCAAATTGGATGGTACGTAGATCTATGTAATGTACAGACAAACTAACACAAAGTCATGTCAAATTGGATGGTACGTAGATCTATGTAATGTACAGACAAACTAACACACAGTCCTGTCAAATTGGACGGTACGTGGATCTATGTAAATATACAGACAAACTTACACACAGTCATGTCAAATTGGACGTAACATGGATTTATGTAATGTACAGACAAACTAACACACAGTCATGTCAAATTGGACCGTCTGAGCAACCTTACACACAGTCATGTCACTGTGGATGGTACGTAGATCTATTTAATGCACAGACAAACTAACACACAGTCATGTCAAATTGGATGGTACATGGATCTATGTAATATACAGACAAACTAACACACAGTCGTGTCAAATTGGATGGTACGTAGATCTATGTAATGTACAGACAAACTAACACAAAGTCATGTCAAATTGGATGGTACGTAGATCTATGTAATGTACAGACAAACTAACACACAGTCCTGTCAAATTGGACGGTACGTGGATCTATGTAAATATACAGACAAACTTACACACAGTCATGTCAAATTGGACGTAACATGGATTTATGTAATGTACAGACAAACTAACACACAGTCATGTCAAATTGGACCGTACATAGATCAGTGTAAAGTAAACTAATACACAGTCGTGTCACTATAAATGGTATGTAGATCTATGTAATGTACAGACAAATTAACACACAGCCATGCCATTGATTGATTATATGTTGTTTAATGTCCCATTCGAGAATATTTCTCTCATGTAGAGACATCCCCGTATGCCGGTGAAGGGCTTCAAATTTAGACCTATACTCGGCACTCAGGGCCATTGAGCAGTGAGGGTTCTTTATCGTGCCAACACCCACTGTGACACGAGACCTCGGTTTTTAAGGTCTCATCCGAAAGACCTGTGACTTTCACTTCTAGTGCTGGTCGCTTGGTGAGGGAACAGTCACTACCTATGTTTACGTCTTAGGTTTGACGTGGCGCGGCGAACAAGAATCGAACCCGGGCCTCCCAATCACGAAGCGAGCGCCCTACCACTAGGCTACCGTGACCGGTCACAGCCATGTCATGGTGGAAGGTACATAAATTTATGTTATGTACAGACAAACTTACAAACAGTCATATCAAGGTGGATAGTACCAAATCTATGTACAGACAACCTAATTATGTACAGACAACCTATCGTTCAATCATTTCATTGAAATCAAGCTCAGTAACTACTATTAATGACTTGAATCTCTGAGATGTAACCTTGGATGAAGGTCATGACACTTCACCTAGTTGCCTACATGGCACAATGGTTAAAGCATTTAGTTCTAGAGTTGGGAAGTCAGGAGCTAATTCTTACATCTGGGTTCAAACACTGAACTTATGATTTTGTATTCTGTGTTTTCAGATGCTACCACCAATGTTAAGATGTCAACCCGTATCTTCTACATCACTGTGGGGTGTGCATGTGCTGTGATTATACTTATAGCGATGGCTGTGGCAATTTACTACCTCAATACTCAGAAAGGCAACAATAGGGGATACTCTGAGAGGATCAAATACTAGTGAGTACGAATCACAACCCAGTACTGGAAATTAAATAGTTGAGGGGTACAAAAGAGGATTAAATACTAGTGAGTACAAAGTATAACCTTAGATAGGAATAATTAAGGTTATTGTTTAGTAGGGAGAGGAACTTATTGCATGTACAAATTTCCATTGTTTCACTTAATTGGATCCAAAATTTTAGAAATGTTTAAATATTGGCTAGTAGAATAAACCACAATGTCCAATAAATGCTGCCAGATATAATGTAACCTTTTTGTCTCTATAATCTGTTTTTAAATAGGGGCTTATATCATTTTCGACAGATATGTAATCTTTTTATGTATATCAATATTTAAAAACAGCTTATTGAGACAAAAGGGTTGCATTATCGATATATCAATATGGTAGTGCATATTAGAGTACAAAAATAGGAAAAAGGTGTTTTGACCCCCGATTTAAAAAAGCTGGGTAAAAATGTAAAAGGGGGAGGGGTCCAGTCCCAGTTATAAGAAAGATAACTCTAACACTGCATTTATGATATTTTTAGAAGTTATCTCTCTTTGTCCATGATTATTTAAACTATTTACCTTTACTCTTGCATCCCATCCCATGATGACCTCAAAATTTATTTTATCCATTCAAAGGATGTGACCCTCTTTAAAGCTTTTTTTTTAAAATAAGAGGAAGAAACTCTTTTCAAAATAAAAAGATTATTCAAATCAAACATGATTGAAGGGCTAAATGCGTGTACGTACAGATTCCTACGAGTTTGTTTTATCATTATTAAACTAGTAAATATTTTATATAATAACAAAATTTTAAAAAGTATTGTTAAGGATATTAACCTCTAATCTTTTAAAGAAACAAATGGTTTTTTATGAAAAAAAGAAACATCTTTAATTCTTGGGCATTATTTTTTAAAAAACATCACATACCTGTAGTCAAACCTGTCATAGCGACCACCTGTATTAAATGACTTCCTGTTTTATGTGAGCGTTAAATTTCCCCTGAGAAGTTTGTCATTATATTTAACCTGCAATCAGCGACTTTCTGTCTACGAAATGCAACTGTCATTTTCCATCCTTAGTTTAAGTCCATGAATTTAGTGACTTTCAATCTTGGTTTTGATAACAAAAGTAATAAAATGTTTAGTTTTAGCCGGCCTTTCTCTCTCCAAATTTGCAGAGAGATGTTTGCAAACACAAACTTACTAAATGGACTATTTGATAGTCTGTGATTTGGTCTCAAATAGAAACTTACAGGTTTGAATGTATATTATTGTTGTCTTCCCAGAAGTTAGAGGTTGTTTTCTGGCCTTCATTTTTTAAATAGTATTTTAAAAGCAGAAGTTAAGCATTTGCTCAACATTGTTTTCTCTTAAATAACAATCTAAGCATGAGTGGCAAACATGACATTTTCATTTAAATTTTAGTCCATTTAGAAATGAATTCTGCATAAAACAACATGCCATAAATAATTGCTGAGATTACTGACTCTGTAATAATCTCAGTGGAAAGAGCTCTTATGTGTCAATAACTGAATATAAAGAATGATTATGTAACAATAAATTATCTTCTGGAGGTTGATGGAGACAAGATGACTTCAGTGGTTTTAGTGATGGCTGTATGGTGACATTGATATTCCCTTCCATTCAGATAAACACTGTTAATTAGGCTCAGCCCTCCACAGCAATCAACAAGAACATTATCACCACACACCTATAAATAGATCAGGGACTCCAAATGGACATGTAAATGCATGTAGTCAAATTAAAATATGGATTTCCATGCATTTTCTCCTTAGATAAATGAAGTGGCCTAAGTACACTCTCTGATAATTGTATAATGGTGAAGTTTAGTTTTCCACCCACAAATGCATTTCTGGAAAATGAATACAATGAAGTTAGCTGCTGAACGTGCCCAGGGCATTTGAAAAAAAATTAATATGGAGATAAGACATTCAAAAACATATGACTAGAGAAAAATGGTTATGATTTTACTATACTCTAGAACATTCACTTAAGTAGGTTCATATAAAGTTTCTTTGAGGCTTGGATAGTTTTTGTTTATTGGTTCAATTTTATATAATTAATTGATCAAATTCTTTTTGTCAAATAAATATTGTACATTTGAACATTACTAACTTGGCAAAGTGAAGTGAATGAAGTATGTAGTGGGAACACAACAGGGAAACTGTGGTTTGATAATGTGTTTATTCAGACATCGCTTCATCCCTTCCCTCTCAATGAGCAATGAAAAATACAAATTTTGGCAAAGATAGAATACACATGTACATAATTTCACTGTACTAATGGCCACTTACAAGATATTTAGCAGATAGGTGTTTTGTAATCTCACTTTAACATGGATGTCATGAAGTAAACTTAAGTCCAATTGAGATCTTAATTAAGATAATATACAGTTTACAGACGTAATATGGCGCAGGTGTTAAAAAAAAAAGAAAAACTCTTGAGACACAAACATTAAGCTGTTCTTTCTATAGTAGACTCTGAATGCATGCATGCCCCTTTATGATTACTTGAATCAACATTTAAGTACTTTGTAAGCATAATCAGAATTGAATATAAAGAAATATCTAATTCATTTAATTGTATAACTCCATGAATATGGTAACTTTTTCAAGCTGGTTATGTTAATTTATTTGATTTGCAGCCCACAAGTTTGAGGTGTTTTAACAAAGGCTTTATATAAAAAGGCATAAGTTTTGATATTAATCATATTTTTACTGCCATTTGCACTTCCATGCTAATACATGATTAAAACAAATACATATAGAAGCTTGGCTCTAAATGCGCTAATTCATGACGACACTAATCAGTCGCTAAGGAATATTGTGCTAAATTTTAAATGCGCTATATGATGTACATTCAATTACTGTAGTTTGTTATTTAAACTATTCTTTTATCTATAGCATGTATCAAATGTTTGTCTAATATCTGAAAATTATGCATGTAATAAGAAAATAACAAAGAGTTAACCTGCGAATTTAATAATGCAGTACATTATGTTTCAATACCAGGGATCAAAAACAGTCATTAAGTTTGTCATTATTTGCTTATTTTAACAGTGACAGCACAAGTTCCCAGCAGCTCTCTAACCAACAGAGTCAGTCCTTCCTGCGATCAGAGACACCAGTAGAGAGTAGCTACAAAGGCTCCAGTGGTAAGTCAAACCTGATTCTCTGTTAAACAGCTTTCAGTCTGATTAAAATTTAGTCCCATTTTCCTTTCTAGGAGGAGAAGATAAAGTGGAAGGGGATGCTTTATTTCCTTGAAATTTCCTTGAAAATTCATACATTCTGGGTCATTTGGTTTTTTTTTTCAGCCATTCATTGCTTTCATTATCAACAACCGTACATACTCGCCTATAAGTCGGTTGTAATTTTTGAGGTTATTTTCGAGGCATTTGCCATTGACCCGCATATAAGTTGGTACAACTTTTTGCAAGAACCGGCTAAACATTTCAAATCAATGTTTTTATGATGTTTTAACCTGGTTTAAGTAATTTTTTATTATAAAGAAATGACGCCAATATTTAATTTTAAATCATAAAAAAATAAGTAATGCACACTTATGATAAAAATAAAATTATTGAAATATGTAAATACTTGTACTTCATGCATAATTTTAGATTAAAAAAATGATATAATATATCCAAACTTTATTCAACAATAATTGTCTGACACGCTCATAAAATACTACATGTTGCCGTTCAAAATAATGCCAATTTTTTATGACTCGCCTATAAGTCGGACATAGAGTTTTGGACGAAAATTTAACTCCCAAAAAACCGACTTATAGGCGAGTATATACGGTACTCTTCAATCAGAGTTAAGTGTCTTTGTGTCCCGTAAATAATGGCACTGACATTAGTGTTTATGGTTTAGTCTCTTTTTTACTTAAATCTACCTAACTGGAGTTGATAAAAGCTTATGCTGCAATGCAGCATTGATACTAAACAGACAACAAACTTGAATCAGAAAAGTTCACACAAGTTTCAGGATCAGGCAAATTAAAGAGAGAACCTATACTGTATATGTGTTGTATACTGACATGTTCTGTGATTTCAGTGAGAAATTATTCCTGTGGGCCATCCCCCATACCTGAGTGTTTCCCTCCTGATCCTAGGGAAATCCTGCAAGAAGTGGCAATTGAGCATCGTAGAATCGCACTAGGAGAATTACAGATGGAGGGTAGGAATTTATCTAATAAAATATAGCAGTTTATTTCTACTCATGCTTTCTATTTATCTTCAGTACAGTTTTATTAATTAATTCATTCAATAATTCATTCATTCATTCTTTATTTCCTATTTATGGAGATATATGAAATGTAAATCGACATACAATTATATAAATATTACAAACATTAAAGTTACATATTGGAATAAAATCTTTTTAATGTTAACTTTGAAGAACTCTACAGTAGGGACAAATAGTAGTGTATAATTATGTAAAATAATTGTTAAAATGTTTAGTAAAACATTTTTATACATGAAAGTTTTGTTTCACTAAGCTGATTCCACATTCTGTAGGTACCTTTGGAAGAATCTACCAAGGGACAATACTGAGTGAGACAGTGAGTGAGACAGAAATAGGGGTGGATCAAGGAATCATGATCAAAACTGTCTCAGGTAGATACACAGTCTGGAATGATTTTAGAAAAAAAAAACATTAAATATTTTTGTAGAACTAAGTATTAATATATTTATGATATAAATATAAGAAGTTGTTCTTTTTTAAAAAAATAAATAAATAAATTTTTTTAAAAATCGCGGTAAGTCTGTCAAATGACTCAACAGACAGAATTTCACAAATTAAAATATTTTAATAAAATTTGCAACTTTCAGTCCATTTAAATTAGTCTAACAATTGCATATTTTGTTCAGTATTATTCATGTTGAACAGATTGGAAGCAAGCTGTTTGATTGGTTAATCTTGTTTGTTACAGATCAAGCGAGACCTGACCAGGTTCATCTGTTCCTGACAGAAAGCTGTATGATGATGGGAATCATCCACCAAAACATCTACCCTGTCATCGGAGCCTGTATCGAGTCTGGTCAGCCTCCCTATGTCATCTATCCTTACTCGTCAGAAGGAAACCTTAAAAAGTTCCTCCTTAAATGTCGGGTCTCAGAGACTGGGTCTCACTATGTAAGTTAATGATCAAGGATCACAAATAAGGATTAATTACGTACATTGTGACTTACATGTATACAGTAATTTGTAGTATTCTGATGGGATTGCTTATATTAAGAAATGTCGTGTTTTACCAACTTTCAATTAAGCTTGTACCGATGATGGCTTTGAAAGTCTTTTCACAGTTGATCCATCCATTTTCAAATCAAAGTCATTTGTTCCTTGTTTCAAACTTGTCTGGTGTATTATTAATGTGTTTTGCATTGTTTCGTAACACCTTTTTTTTGTTCCTTTGTAGTCTCTATCCACACAACAACTTGTATACCTAGCAATACAAATTGTGAAAGCCATACAGTTTTTACACAGAAAGAAAATACTTCATAAAGACATAGCAACAAGAAATTGTGTGTAAGTAGAACAACTATTGAATGTAACCATCAATTATTTGTTATTCATTACTTTTTAAAACAAAAAATGTTCATCTTTACAATTTGCAACTTTGGATTTCTCATGATCTTACTTATAAAAACATATCAAGTTACTAAGAATTTTGATTTAAGCATTTCAGTATAGAGTAGATGACAACTTTAAATCATACACATGTACCATAAACAAACATAAATGACAACTCTCCAACAGATTATTTGATCAGTGTTACTGAACTCTTAAGGTTAAAGGTTATAAAGAATTTTGATTTAAGCATTTCAGTATAGAGTAGATGGCAACTTTATATTTATCTGTACTTACTTGCAGCTCCTTCTGAGAGTTTCCCTCTATATTTATCTGTTCTTACCTGCAGCTCTTTCTGAGAGTTTCCCTCTGTATTTATCTGTTTTTACTTGCAGCTCCCTCTGAGAGTTTCCCTCTATATTTATCTGTTCTTACCTGCAGCTCTTTCTGAGAGTTTCCCTCTGTATTTATCTGTTTTTACTTGCAGCTCCCTCTGAGAGTTTCCCTCTATATTTATCTGTTCTTACTTGCAGCTTCTTCTGGGAGTTTCCCTCTATATTTATCTGTTTTTACTTGCAGCATAGACAATGATCTGCAGTTGAAGTTAACAGATAATTCCCTGTCACGGGATTTGTTTCCAGCTGACTATCATTGCTTAGGTGACAATGAAAATCGCCCTGTTAAATGGCTTTCTCTGGAGGCATTGGTAGAAAGAAGATTCTCAATCAACAGCGATGTGGTAAGAATGTTACCTTATCAGGAAAAGGTTATACATGTACTCTGTTCAAGAGTGTAAAGTTTATCTTTGTGTTCTTAAATAAATATAAGAAAAGATTTGTCAGTGCATGTAATTCAAATGATCAGATATACCCTATGTGGCAGTCAGACGGGTTTGATCACCGGTGGCCAGATAGCTCAGTTGGTAGAGCACCTGACTGGAGATTCAGGGGGCCCGGGTTCGAATCCCGGTCTGGTCCGCTGCATTTTTCTCCTCTCCTGTTACACTTACAAAGTATTGTGGAGGCAAAAGATAAGTGGATGATTGCAGAACATTGATATTTATGTAAACATGAAGAATTTGATGAGTGAATTTTTTCTATTTCAGTGGTCTTTTGGAGTTGCTTTGTGGGAACTTATGTCTCTAGCTCAACAACCTTACTCAGAAATTGATTGTTTTGAAATGGCAGCATACCTTAGAGAGGGTTACAGGATAGCTCATCCAATCAACTGTCCTGATGAATTGTACATATCCAGTCAGATTATTTATGCATTCAAACCAACCAATCAAATGCCTTTTATTTCTGTATCAAACCAAGCTTTTTATTACTGTAAAACATATTAACCACATTTAAAACCATTCCAAAGAGCTGAAACTTGCTAAACCACTATGTTTTTATGTCTAGACATGCAGCAATTTTAAAATATTTTGATATCATTAATTTATTTAAGCTGTACTGGCTACTATTTCTGTAGTTTTCATCTGATTTCAGTACAACTTTGTACATCAGTAGATTACTTCGTAAAAAAAATTCCGTCATTTAATTTTTGATTTCAATGAATAGTGTTGCCTTGGGTTACTGAAAATAAAAAAATCATGAATTTTCTTCAAAATGCTTTGAATTGGCTAAGAAAGAAAAACTTTTAGACACCAAATTAAGATGCCTGTTTTATATTTTGAAGGTACAGCATGATGTCTGGTTGTTGGGCCAAAAATCCAGACGAGAGACCGAGGTTTTCCCAGCTTTTAGTGTATCTCCAGAACTTTTATGAAGCTTTGGGCCAGTACATTTAGTGATAGATGACTTTTCTCTATAATTCAAACGTTTCTCCAGAACTTTGACAGAACCAGTTTGTTTGATGGAGAATCGTTGTTACTTGAATGTTCACCTTCAGTTAGATATGATGAGCATCCAACAAATCATTTTAGGAAATTGTTTAAACTGTGAATATTCATTTGATGAATATTTAGATCTTGAGGATAAAATCTAAGTTTAATGCAAGGGTAATAAATATACTCTACTGAATGTAACAGAAGGTTGTGAACATTCAATTTAAAAACTTGTAATGAAATAATTCATTACTTTGGGCCAATTGGGCAGGTTGCAATAGAAATGGAGATGTTGTGTTCTCCTACAGTAACGGCTCAACGGAGAGACAAGGTTAAATCTTCCCAGTTAGGGGAGACTATTCTGTGTCAGTAAGTCATGTCTGCAATAACTCTACTGTCAGTATGTAAACCAAATACTTCCTGTTCATCATAAAATTTATATAAAAGCAGCCCTTTCATGTACATGTATTACTCTCCCATCATTGTTTTGTGTCCAAAGTTTGATATTCATACCTACTTAAGATTTTTGTAAATTATGTTTTCATCTCTGATGTCTTGTAATTTACAGTATTTTTGGTATTCTTTTCTCCATAGATCTTGATTTTATTTTCTTGTGATTTATAGAGTGGATATATTTATTAAAAATTATGCTAAAATTATATTTAAAAAAAATTCCTGACCTATAACTTATAATTCATTCTGTTTATTTTCATGTAAAATGTTATGTACCATTCTTCAATGAGAACAGCTGTACACACCATAACATTTTTTTTTTGTTAATCCTTTTTTTTTTTTACTATATATATATATATATATATATATATATATATATATATATATATATATATATATATATATAATGCCAAACGTGCTATTGTTTTGACATTGAGGATTGAGGCTTAAGAGGTGCATATAAAATACTTTGTAATAAAAAGTTGTGCCAAATGTTTTGCACTGATGATAAGTTTAATGATGAAAAAATGACATTTTTAAGAAAATAATGATGTAAAAACAGTCATTATTGAACTCATGTACTTCTGTAAAATAAAAGTTTACAAAATTCTGCAGATGCATTATGTACTTGGAATTTTTTTTCCGTCCATGCAATTTTATATGGTTGTCAGAAGTTTATAACATAGAAAAATATGTGCAGCAATATTCTACTTTAATACCCTGTCATACTAAACCCTATTTGTACAAATAAGGTCTAATTTTCATATTGATAAGCAGCATTGTGTAAAGCATTATGTAATATATGAAAGTCCTGTAGCAATTTTCATACTTATGCATTACAGCAGTTCTATACATATTTTCTAGTTTGTACATGTACATTCAAGTTCACTCCTTCATACTTTATTTATCCTTTTCCATCAATTTGTCTTTGCACAAAATTTCAGTTCTGAAGGCTATAAAACTTGCAGAGAAATTTTTATTATAGGAAAACCAAGTTCAAATCAGCAAATTAATAATTGAGTCAATTGTAGGAATGTTTTGTCATCTTGTTTTCTATTTCCAGGACAGCAATGTTTTATATGTAGAAATATATGCTTATGAAATCTTGTTTAATGAGTTAATTATTTCAATTGAATGTTCAATCTTGAGATAGTCACACAAACTGTATGAAATGTACAAATTAATGACAGAAGCAGAATTCCATGAGATAATGTCAGTGAATTTTATCTTTGATGTGTATACATGTACATTACTTAATCGTAGGTTAAGTAAAGAATTAATCTAATGTGCCATTAAGATGGATTTTCTTTTCTTTTTCCAGCTGAAAAATACACACGATGCCAAATGTTGTTTTTGAGTATTGTATGAATGTCCTCATGTCTGTAAAAAATAAATCTGTCTTTATATTTAATTATGTCAAAGAACATATGTGATTTTATATATTACGTATATAGTTTGTTTGTACTAAAACAAAGAGGGTGCGTGTATGTGTGTTTGTGTTTGATCAGATTTATGTATTTAATTCTTCATTAACACATTTTATATAATAAATTGAAAACAACTGATTCTTTTTATCTTGATCATTTCAGGGGTTGGACATTTTAATGGAATGGCAGGGCATTTTAGTGGATAAAAATGAATGTTTCAGCAGAAAATTTGTAGAAACTTTAGTGGAAGATAGACACGTATAGGACATTTCATCTGAATTTGAATAGGAATGTAGATATTTTAATAATCTTTAGATAATACCATGTTTTGATGTCCAGTTTGCAGTTGCTTTTAACTGGCGATGTTTGTTTTTCTTTCATTACACTATGCTGAAAAATGCATTCCCGGTAGAACAATTTTTCTTGTCTAAGAATGTCTCTGAGGAAAAAAGTCAGATTTTGGTAATACTTGAACTTTCTTTTGGAACCTGTCACAAATTCCTTTTGATCAACCCATTTCTACCTCTACTGTTTCCATACTGTTCAGTGTTGTTATTACATGTACTCTTATTCATTTGAATATTTCTATCCTTAAGGAGGGATTCTTCTCATAAGAACCCTTATTTCTTATATTCAAAAATCAATGAAATTTTCACAGAATCAAGAAGACAATATCACTAAGTGATGGTATCAGTTAGAATAAGTTTGACCGTTTTATATTAGAGGCAAGGTCAGGTCAAGGTCAGTACCTTTTGCCTACAAATAAGTTGATGAAAAGCTGTCTCGTTTAAAGTCATCATTTCGTAAGTTCTATGGTCGATACAATGACCTTGTCAGCAAATACAATTTATCATTGAGTCAAATGCTGACTGACGTTTTTCATACTAATTGTTAGGCCATTATTTACACACTGAATTGTCGACGGATTTTTCCGTTATTTCCCGATCATGACAAGGAGCACACGGCGGGTGTGACCGGTCGGCAGGGGATGCTCACTCCTCCATGGCACCTGATCCCACCTCTGATGTTTGGAGGTCCGTGTTTGCTCTGCTCCTATTTTGTATTGATTAATGGATTTTGAGCTTGAATACTGTTCGTTATCTCCATATATTTCATTTTATTTTCTATAAAGAGCCATGAAATAGCAAAAACGTGAGTACGGTGGCGTTTCCGGTTGGCGGATCTAAGTTACTGGCAGTTTTTAATGAAACTGACAACAAGCAATCGTTTATTTATTTTATAAAACGTCATCACTTTATTATTTATTCAAAACTTGATTTAAATGATATAAAAGAAATAAGTTGTGATAACCGATTAAAAAGGGAAATGTGCAAATTATTTTTGTCATTCGCCGATCTTAATATTGACGGAAGCTTCTAGAACATCAGATAGCATCGAGCCCGAAGTTAACAAGAGGCCCAAGGGCCTTAATGGTCACCTGAGTACAATACAACAATTTAGAGGATCCATAACTGATAAATGAAGCTTTGCTGCCCAAAACCAAGAAAAACAGTATGATTAGCATCTACAAAATAATTGGTCTAGTATCTATCTGCCCCCCCCCCCTCCATTTATCACTATTCCCATGCAGACTATTAACAAGATGTCTATTATTTAACCCCATATTATTACTTCTCACAATCGCCTCTCTTGGCCTTTGAAGAACATTTAAAAAGATAAATTATTTTTGTCTCATTTTTATTCATCTATTATTTCCAAGTCATTAAAACTATGAAAGTACTTTTTTTTTTTATACAATAAATTTTCTTGCATAATTCTCTTATTCTATTAACCTTTCAAATACATTATTTACATTGATTAATTATCAAAGGTGAATGGCAAAGGGGAATACCTTTGCTCAGCAGAATACAAGTTAATAGAGCCCTGGCCAGGACCAGAACACTTGACTAAATGGTCCAGGTGTTCGAAATTCTGGTAAAAATACCTTTGCATATTAAAACTTTTACTCTGTTTGCCTTGACCATCCCCAGAAGCATAGAAGATTTTCAAAGAAATGCATTTTCACCATATTATTAAATAAATAAAGCCCCATCCTTACACCAGAACATCTGACCCATTGGCCACGAACTCACAATTCTGGAAGAAGCACCTTTCTCATCATAGCTATAAACTTGTTTCTTTACTTTATAACCAGTAGTAGAAAAAATATTTTGAAAGAAATTATGCATTTTTACTATATAATCAATAGAGCTCTCCCCCCACCCCACCCCCCTTCACCAGAACCCCTGACCCAGGAGCCACGAATTTCACAATTTTGGAAGAGGCATTCTTCCTTATCATTACCATGCACTTCCTTTGTTTGAAAAATACCCAGGAGCAGAGAAGATGATTTTGAAAGAACTCATGCCTTCTCCCTATATAATCAATAGAGCCCCGCCCTAACACCAGAACCCCTGACCCAGGGGCCATGAAATTCATAATTTCTGAGGAGGCAGCCATGCTCATCATAACTATGCACTTAGTTTATTTAATATCCAGGAGCAGAGAAGAAGATTTTCAAAGAATTAATGCATTTTCACTATATAATCAATAACCCCCCCCCCCCCAACACCAGAACCCCTTACCCTGGGGCCATGAAATTCACAATTTGGAAGAGGCACTCTTGCTCATCATAACTATGCACTTAGTTTATTTAATATCCAGGAGCAGAGAAGAAGATTTTCAAAGAATTAATGCAATTTTACTATGTAATCAATAGAGCCCAGTCCTAACACCAGAATCCCTGACCCAAGGGCCATGAAATTCACAATTTCTGAAAAGGCAGCCATGCTCACCATAACTATTTTCTTAGTTAGTTTATTTAATACCCAGGAGCAGAGAAGAAGATTTTCAAAGAATTAATGCATTTTCACTATATAATCAATAACCCCCCCCCCCCCAACACCAGAACCCCTTACCCTGGGGCCATGAAATTCACAATTTGGAAGAGGCACTCTTGCTCATCATAACTATGTACTTAGTTACTTTATTTAATACCCAGGAGCAGAGAAAGAGTTTTCAAAGAATTAATGCATTTTCACTATATAATCAATAGAGCCCCGCCCTAACACCAGAACCCCTGATCCTGGGGCCATGAAATTCACAATTTTGGAAGAGGCACTTTTGCTCATCATAACTATGTACTTACTTAGTTTATTTAATACCCAGGAGAAGAGAAGAAGATTTTCAAAGAATTAATGCATTTTCACTATGTAATCAATAAAGCCCCACCCTAACACCAGAACCCCTGACCATGGGGCCATGAATTTCACAATTTTGGAAGAGGCACTTTTGCTCATCATAGCTATGTACTTAGTTAGTTTATTTAATACCCAGGAGCAGAGAAGAAGATTTTCAAAGAAATAATGCACTTTCACTATATGATCTATATAGCCCCACCCTAGCACCAGAACCCCTGACCATGAATTTCACAATTTTGGTAGAGGGCTCAATGCTTATTACAATCATGTCAACAGTTTGACTGCTTGATGTCCAGGAGTAAAGAAGAAGATTTTTAAAGATTGCATTATTTTTGGTGATTTTAGCCCCACCCCTCAGGCCCCAGGAGGGCAGGGACCATGAAATTCACAATTTTTGTTCCCCTTCACCCATAGATGCTATATGCCAAATTTGGTTGAAATTGGTTGAGCGGTTTCAGAGAAGAAGCTAAAAATGTTCAAATGTTAACGCACGACGCACACCGCACGACGCACGCCGACGGACGAGAACGGATAGCAATAGGTCACCTGAGTGACTCAGGTGACCTAAAAAGAAAAACGAGGCGATTATAGCTGCATGAAAAAAAGCTTTTGTGTGAATGGTCAGTGAAGTGATGG